TCAGTACCACCTTGTGGAAAATCCAGTTGATGTTGCTAATATGATCTACAATGCAGCAGGCTGAGTTATATTTACAAAAAATTATCTGAGAGTGCTTAAAAATATTTAAATTTAAAAAATATTCCAGTCAAATTATACCTACATATTTCTGGGAGATATGACTACAACAGAGATGATAATTTTATCTACATATAAGATTATAATCTCTGTTGTATTAATTTAATACTTCTAAGTGAGAGAGTATTTGTAAAAGTACTTGTGGAAAAAAAAAACCATAATAAGCAAACTTAATAGGTAGATGTTATGCATCGTGGGTATTACTATGCATTCCTTGAATCACTAAAAACATAACTTTCCTATACTATTTCTCAAATACCAGAAATAATACTGGTCACTGTGCTGTCATTCCTTTCATTATTTTAAAATTGGAGGTTAGTATGATTTAATTTTATGGAATAAAGAAAAGAACAGATAATTCTTTCATTTTCCTTCAACAGTTTTGCCAGATCTTTCTATTTGTTCCCACATTTTCTCTAAATGTAACAAAAAATAAGCATAAAGTGATAGATTATAAATAATTTTTAAAGTATTATCTCTGCCTTATTAGTCAGGCTCCATGTTTGTCTATTTAGAAAATGTCTAGGTGAAAAAGAAAAATAGTTTGAATCATATATTTGTAAAGCCACATAAACTTTTATTCTTCCTCAAATAATCCCAAAGCCCTGGTATACATCTATGAAAGAGAGAAAGGCTAACTTTGTTTTCTAATAGAGATGTACCAAATAACTCTCCTAGGCAATCATGCTGACAATAAACAATAGAGAACCTGCCATAAAGTAACATGTTTTTATGGTATGCTGCCAGGAAACCAAGCTTTGCACTGGGATAAATGGCATCATCCTAAAATATAGCCACAAAGGAGAGTAGCAAATATGGGATTTATTGCTTTAAAATCAAACTAACAATGTAGTACAGCAGTACATTGGGAAAATATATAAAATGCTCTGAGCCCACTAAATAACTATGAATGATGAGAAAGTGCTTGAGTTGTAGACCATGTGAGTAACTATACCACAAGCTTTATGAAAACCTCTTGAAATTGGTTTCTTTTTCCAATTTTTTAAAAAGAGAAAGAGGCAAAAGATAGGATAGATGGGGTTGGAAATCAGTGGCAGATGCAATATGAATGAGTCTTTTAGCATAATAATCCATCAAATGTTGTTTTCAATTGTAATTTTTATAATGTGGTTTCTAGGGCTACCTTTTGTCATCTGATAACACTGTTAGAAGGGATGTTTTGCTTTTGATTTATATACTAAAGAAAAGGTTCACCTTGAAAAAAAAAGTATTCAATTAATATAGTGCCAAGATTAGAATGAATAAAATTTCATGAAGAAAAATTGAAAAATATACTGTCCCTTCTTATTTTCAGGCTGTAGACACAATTTCTTTTCATTTAAAATTTCTTACACAGTAATATTGAATATTTGCTGCTTCCAAATTGAGAGAAGGGTAGCCTATCAGTATAGTTTTTCTACCTCTCAGAAATATGTGGATGTTAGTACCTATCATTCTCTGAGTACATAACAATGGAAATCAGAAGCAATTTCCGTTCTGAGTTAAGGGGCAGGTCATCATTTCATATCTTCAATAATTATCAGGAACTTCAAATTTCAGCCAAATCAGTGAGAAGTCCCAGATTATAGGCCATAAAATGAAAACAAGAGCATAGGTACACTTGAGCTCTCTCTCTGGGCTTAATGAGTATTTGAATCCTTAGTCTAAAAAAATGAGGGGCAGTATATGAACATTGATGAAGACTGAAAAGAAAAGAATCAATAAATGTGGGAATTTCCAAACGAGATTCCCTCTGCCTGGAATACTGAACCCCATTTCTCTATAATAACTCGATTCATCCTCAGGATTCTGCTCTAACATCAGCTCCTTCAGGAAATATCCTTGACCTCTACTCCCTGATGCCTCCCTGCACTAATCTGAGGGAGGAGTCTTTTCCACATGTTTCCATGGCACCCAGAGCTTTTCACTATAATAGTCTTATCATGTTATATTGTGTTTGTGTACTGTCTCATTTCCTTCCACCCCTCAACAAACTTCAGCAGCTTGAAGACAAATTTTGTGCTTTACGTCACTTTGTATACCCAGAATAGAGCCACACAATTAACACTACTGAATGAATAAACAAGTAGAATTAATAAGGGAGGACATGTTTTGTACCGTACAATCTTCCTTCTTCAAAAAAAAAACAAAACTTATTCTGTTTGCCCTGCTAAGTAAATCCTGAAAAGTCTATGCAAATCACAAATTCCTCCCAAAATTAGAATGGTGAAATGCTCTATAAGGAAAGATATGTGCTTACAGTGATTTTTCTTTCTTCTCAAAGGAAAGTTAATTGATGTAGCAGAAAATAAGGTATATTAGAAATTTTACACCCACAACTTGGGAGCTCTAGTAGTGTAGTGCCTAAGGCACTTGACTGCTAATCAGAAAGCTGGCGGTTCAAACCCACCAGCCACTCCTCGGAAGGAAGATGGGGCAACCTACTTCCGTAGTGATATTGCCTCGAAAACCCAAGGAGGGGTCGCTATGAGTCGGGTCCAACTCGACGGCACATAACAACAATAACAACTGCTTCTTACAAGCCAAGTGATATGCTTGAAGTCATTTCTTCAGCTAAGAAATGGAGATAATCTTATCTGTGCTTGCTATCTTATAAACTTGTTAAAGGATCAAATATATTAGCAGGAGTGAAAGCACTTTGAAAACTTTAAATTGCTATATTAAGGGTATTAAGATACTGAGGGGGGGCATAAATGTGCCTTTCTTACAAAACAGTTTTCCATTTCTTTGTCTTACACAGGGAGCAACTTGAAGAATCCATTTTGAGGACAGACTTGAGTTCTACATTGTCAACTATCAGTCCTTGGGTGAAGGTAAGATTTTCTTAGCCTTGAGCTGTTTTGTTTATTATTGTCATCATCACCATAATCATGATGATCAGATATGGAACACTAATGGGGCTTTACAGTCTCTTTTGTGTTTCCTTGTGGGAGAGTCAGAATTCAGTCTGAAGGAAGTAATTTCTAAATGCCTATTTTGAATAGTTTTAGCATGACCTACAGTGTTAGGTAGTTTTTAAAAAACTGCTTGGTGTACTAGAAGCATGACGTTAACTCCAACTTCCAGGTTCTTTGTTACATTCCTGTACATGGCAGAATAAAATAGAAAATAACTGGTCCTATATTTCCTATTTCTTCTCCACTATGATGTGAAACTAAACTTGGCAGAAAACCTAAAATCAGCTACAATATTACTGCTTGACTGTACTATAATGGTATAATATTGAGATTTTACTTTACTTCTGTGGCCATCAGACAACTTAATAGCATTCTAGCATCTAGAATTCAGGATCTAAATTACTTGAAATGGTCATGAATCAATAAATCAATAAAAAAGATTTATATTTATCACAGTGGGGAGGTACCCGTAAGTCCCCTCCTCCTCGCCTATAGTTCAAAAAGACACAGATGCTTCAGAGGTTCAAAGGTTATCTGAAAATCTCTCCAGTGCCATTGTAAAGGTCTTGCTGCACAAAATTTCAAGATGGCACAACAGTGGTCCCATCAGCTTTTGAACCCAGCCACTCGAGGTGTGATAATTCATTAGTTGAAGAAATACTTTCTCAAGTGTCTACATGCCAGAGTAGTAATGTAGCAGTTAAAACTTGCTTCCTGTCCATCACAGAATATAGAAATTTCACACTCCCCTTCACACCAATCATAACTGTTCCCTTGAAAACAAGTTATTTGAACAATTCCATTACTGAAATGCCTTATAACCCTTTTTTCTTTAGAGAAGTGCACAGAAACAATTCAAAATCACTGTGTCATCCTTGCTACATGACATGATATACCAGAATTCAACAGCTCCAATGGAGAGAAAGATGTTGACACCAGTGGTTTATTTATTAGTCTAAATTCATTAATTTCCCCAAAAAAGAACAGTAATCCTCTAAGATATATATTTTAAATGTTCTGTAATAATACTACGAAATAATTTTTACAAGTATTGTCCAGTGGAAATAGTAGTTCTACATGGTACTAGTCAGCACAATTATTTTGTCATTATTCCATTCCTTACCTTTACGTCCATGGATCTCTACAATAAGATCACGAAGAGTTCTAAAATTCTTTACTTCTATGATATGTCATGCAAGACCTATTTCTAAATAAATAAAAATTTATATCATCTCCATAACTTTCATTCTTATTGATCAGTTACCATGTCTTCCTGATTGTATCTCTCACCACTCCCCAGTTAATATCCTCACCCCTTCCACAACATATACATGCATTTTTTAAAAATATACATACATTGTTATATATACCTATCATCTAATCAGCCAGTTTCCAGACCTTTGATTATGACCTACTTATTCTCTACTTGTTTTTCCCTTACATGCTATTTCCCTCAGCTAGAATGTACTTTCTCCTCTTGTTTTTTCAACAGTTCAGATCCTTTACTTTGGAGGTTTATTGCTTCTAAGAAGCATGGAACTCTTGACTAACAGTGTCCACCATTCATCTTAAACTTACTTTGAATTTTCTGATTAGTTAAATATGTACCATGCCAGTGTGACTTTCTTTCCAAATTGCCTCAAAACGATTCTCAGTACTCCAGGTGGGTAGGTAGCATCTTCTAATCAGACGTTAAGCCTCTCAACCTAGGAGCCACCTACTTAACTTCCTCTGATTCCTCATTCCATCTGGTACATGCTACACTCAAAATAGACACTGAAGGCTTTTGAGTAGATGCCTGAGTTAGTGAAAAAAAAATGAGTAAAATACATCACTTAAGACATTAAGCTGTATCAAACTTGCCTGAAGTATTAATTTTTAGCAATCTGGTTTTGTTTGGGATGTATGTGTGTGTGTGTGTGTGTGTGTGTGTGAATCTACCATAGTTTTAGGTTTTATACTCACCGGAACAGAAACTTGAGGATTATCTGCAAGTTTTCCCAGCACAGCAAAGCCATCAACATTGATTTGGCCTCTTGGCTTTATAGGTAAGGATTCAATCCTATTACAGTCAATAAAAAGAGTAACACTACTCCTTTCCACACCGATCATGATCTTATGCCATTGGGAGTCAAACAAGGAGGGCAAATTCGAAAAGGTTGCTATTTGGAGACTTCCATCCAGTCCCTTATATGAAAATGTAACAGATTTTGTTTGGCCATTAATCTTCACGCCAACCTGCTCCTTCCCTGAGGAATCTTGAATCTGCCAAATGTTCCAGTTCTTTTCAAGTGTGTTTCCAGTCATCCGAAAAGTAGTTAAAAAGGAGTATTCTTCAGGCAGTCCACTGGGATATAAATGCCTTAAAATTTTAAAACAAAAATATAAATCTTGTTTTCTGTACCCATATGTATTTACCATATTCCCTTGTATGCTATTTTAGATTCTAGACAGACAGAAAGGCTACAGTGTAAAAAACTGTGCACTGCTTGTTCTTTCATGCCTGTTCATCAAGACCTTCACAGACTTTCAGTCATTCAGGTACATGAAGGCTCCATCTTAAAACACATATAAAAATCTTCATAGCTAAAGAGGGTTCCCAATGTGTATAATCCCAACAGTATTACTATGTGTGCTACCCAAAGAGCTACTGTTCAGCAATTCCATCTCAGCCAAAAAACACATTCTTGAAAAATACTTGGCAACAGTGGCCCCATGTGAGAGACAGATCATTTGGAATCCAAATCAGCTCTACTAGTTTATGAAACCATTTCATTAAAAAAGCTTTTATTTATTTTTAACAGTTTAGAATTATTTTTTATTTCCATAATTGCATGTGTGCTCCTCTCCTTAATTTAATCCCAGGCCCACATAAGCATTTTGAGAATAGGGAACTGCAGGTTTTAGAAGTTTCTTCACACTGAGGATGTTTGTCTTTTCCAGGGACTTCAAAGTGTAATGTTAAAGTTGTCACCAGCTGCTTGTCAGTGGATGTGCGACAAGGGAAATGTGGCCAGTTCTCACTTCTCTGCTCCAACCCAGTTGTTCCCCAATCTGCCATGTAAGTCTGTAACATTGCTGCTTCCTTTCTTGCTTTAAATAGCAGCATGAGACTGTCAGTGAGACAGAGAGGCATCTCCAGTCGAGGTGGCAACCGTGATCTGGAGCCTAAGCAGCTACCTGATCTGTTTTTGTTGGAGTCAAGCTGCTAAAAACTGAAATCTGAACTTTAAAAGTCAGAGACTATTACATGTAAACTTCGTAAGGTCATGAAAGTTACATCCTTCTATTTTCCTCCTTCTAAGCAAAGAAAAGTTCCTCAGCAAGAAGGAAATGCTAGGAAAACTCATGCCAGTTAACTTTGAAAGCTAAATAATACAATTTGAAATGTCTAAGAATAGCGATGGACTAGGATCCAGAGTCCCAAGTAGCATTCTTTCATGTCATAGTCCCATTCTTGTGAAGATAAAAGAAGAGAAAGAAAAAGCATCTAAACAGATGCTGACTTAATTTGTTCTACAAATTAAAATTATTAATATATCAGTATATTGTATACTAGGAGCTCTGGTAGAGTAATGCCTAAGGCATTTGACTGCTAACCAGAAGGCTGGAAGTTCAAATTCACCAGCCACTCCTCGGAAGGAAGATGGGGCAATCTACTTCTGTAGTGATACTGCCTTGGAAATCCAAGGAGGGGTCACTATGAGTCGGGTCTGACTCGACAGCACATAACAACAACAACAAAGGATATTGGCTAACAAATGAAACTACTCAACTTGCTAAG